ATTGTTGTATAAAAATTTGATTACTTTCTCCTCCGTGATTTTTGCCAAAGGTTCGGCCTCCACCCATTTTGTAAAATAGTCTACCGCCACGATTAAGAACTTCCTCTGCCCAGTTCCTTGCGGCATCGGCCCCACCAGGTCAATCCCACACTGGGTGAATGGTATAGGGGCACTCATCGTCGTCATCATTTCTGCCGGTTGGTGAATAAGTGGACCATGCTTCTGGCATTGCAAGCACTTCTTCACCATCATCTTCGCGTCCTCTTTCATCGTCGGCCAGAAGTATCCTACCCTCAGAATTTTTGCAGATTTACTATGATCACTGCAGCATCCTTCTTGCATTTCTCTCAATGCATATCGACCATCCTCCTTGGTTATACAGCGTAAGTGCGCTCCAGCATACGACCGCTTGTAAAGATTGCCTCCTTGCTCGAAAAATCGCCTCACCACCTTTATCGCCCCTTCTTCCAGCTCCTTTAAGATCGGGGTTCTCCAATCCTCCACCTCTTCGATCTCTGCCACTTCCGCCTCGACCTCACTCCTCTCCAAGTGTAATATAGTGACACTTCTACTCCGGCAGTCCACCAAACTTTGAGCAATTTTCGCTAGTAATTCTGCTCGACCATTCTCTCCTTGAGGATCTGTATAAGCTCGAACGACTCAAACTCATCCTTTAACTTCTTCATCTCGTCTACATACTTTTGCATTCGATCCTCCTTAACCTCAAATCCCTCCTGGAACTATTCGACTACCAATTGGGAGTCGAAATGTACCAGAACTTTTCGAGCTCCTCCCGCCATGGCTAACCGCAAGCCTTTGATCACCGCCTCATACTCAGTCTCATTATTAGATATTTTAAACCCCACTTTAGCCGCAAACTCCAAATTATCGCCCTTAGGAGAAACAAGGACAATTCCTAATCCAGCCCCGCTTCTGGCCACAGACCCATCCGCGAATAACTGCCACACTCCTCCAGACTCCTCCTCGACCTTAGTGCCTTCTTGAATAAAATATGCCAAGACCTGTGCCTTTATGGCCCTTATCGGCTTATACAATAAAGAGTATTCGCTCAGCTCAACTGCCCATTTTACTAATCGACCGGAGACCGTTGGTCGGCTGAGTGTTTCCCCTAATGGCATGTTCATTTGCACCTTCACTTTATGGTTCAAGAAATAAGGCCTCAATTTTCGAGCAGTTACCACCACAGCTAAAGCACACTTCTCAATCTCTGAGTACCTCATCTCTGCTCCCTGCATCACCCTGCTTACGTAATAAATAGGAAACTGTGCTACTCCTTCTTCCAGCAGCAACACCGTACTCACAGCCCTCTCTCTGATAGAAATATACAGCACCAATTCTTCGCCTTGTACGAGTTTAGCCAACAGAGGAAGGTTAGCCAGCACCCCTCTCAACTCTTCAAATGCCTTTTGCGCTTCTTCCGTCCACTGAAATTTCGAGCTCTTTTTCAGTGTTTTGAATAATGGGTCACTTTTCTCAATATGAAACGACTTAGCCCCGCAATTCGTCCAGCTAAGATCTGCACTTCCTTAACATTCGTCGGCAGCTTCATCTCCATTATGGCTCGAACCTTCTCAGGACTCACCTCAATACCTCTCTTGGTCACCAAGTAACCCAAGAATTTTCCCGGCCTCACCCCGAAAGAGCACTTAGCTGGATTCAATTTCTTCCCATACCTCTGCAATGTTGAGAACGTTTCTTTCAAGTCTCGCACATGATCCAACTCCTCCTTGCTCTTCACAAACATATCATCCACATACACTTCCATGTTCCTCCCCAGTTGCTCCTTAAAAATTTTATCAACCAACCTTTGATACGTGGCGCCTGCATTCTTTAGGCCGAACGGCATGACCACGTAACAATAGGTTCCTCGACTCGTTACAAAACTCACCCGCTTCCTGTCTTCTCTCGCCAAGGGAATTTGATGATATCCCTGAGAGGCATCCATCAGGCTCAGCAGTTCGCACCCCGCCGTTGAGTCGGCCAGCTGGTCGATTCTGGGCAGTGGGTATAAGTCCTTTGGGCATGCTTTGTTCAGATCATGGAAATCAATGCACATCCTCCATTTTCCCTCCGCCTTCGACACCATCATTGTATTCGACAACCATTCGAGGAACTGGATCTCCTTGATATGCCCTGCTCCCAATAGCTTCTTGACCTCCTTCTTAATGATTTTG